GCATATGATATGATTCTATATATAGAAAACCGTAAAGACTCCACTAAAAAATTACTGGAACTAATAAATGAATTTAGTAAAATGGCAGGATACAAAATCAACACACAAAAATCAGTAGTCTACCTATATGCCAACAACAAGATAGCCAAAGAAGAAATTAAGAAAGTAATCCGGTTTACAATAACTACCCCCCCCCCCAAAAAAATGAAATACCTAGGAGTAAATTTAACTAAGGAGGTGAAAGACCTCTACAAAGAAAACTATAAATCACTGGTGAAAAAAATTGAAGAGGATACAATAAATGGAAAGATATCCCATGTTCATGGGTTGAAAGAATTAACATCATCAAAATGTCCATATTACCAAAGGAATCTACACATTCAAGACAATCCTTATCAAAATGCCAGTGATATTTTTCACAGACATAGAAGAAATGATCTTAAAATTTGTATGGAACCATAAAAGACCCCATATAGTGAAAGCAATCTTGAACAAAAAGAATAAACTTGAAGGCATCATACTTCCTGAGTTCAAAATATACTGTAAAGCTATAGTAACCAAAACAGCATGTATTGGCATAAATACAGAAAAATTGACCAACGGAATAGAATAGAGAGCCCTGAAATAAACCAATGCACTTACAGCCAACTGATTTTTGACAAAGGTACCAAAAATATACAATGGAGAAAGGACAGCCTCTTTAGCAAATGGTGCTGGGAAAACTGGATATCCACATGCTGAAGATTGAAACCAGACCCTTATCTCTCACCATCCACAAAAATCAGCTCAAAATGGATCAAAGACCTAAATCTAAGACCTGAAATTATGAAACTACTAGAAGAAAACACAGGAGAAATGATACATGAAATGGTAGTGGGCAGTGATTTTTTTAATAAAACTACAAACGCACAGGCAACCAAAGCATAAATACACAAAAGGGACTACATCAAACTAAAAAGGTTCTGCATAGCAAGGGAAACTGTCAACAAAGTGAAGAGACAACCAACAGAATGGGAGAAGGTGTTTGCCAACAACACATCGGACAAGCGGCTACTATCCAGAATATTTAAGGAAATTAAATGACTCAAGAGCAAAAAACCAAATAACCTAATTAAAAAGTAGGCAAAGGACCTGAACAGATATTTCTCAAAAGAAGACACAAAATGGCCATCAGGTACATGAAAAAATGCTCATTACCACTTATCATCAGGGAAATGCAAATTAAAACCACAATTAGCTATCATCTCATTCCAGTTAGAATGGCTATTACCAAGACAAAAAATAACAAATGCTGGTGAGGATGAGGAGAAAAAAGAACTCTCCTACATTGCTGGTGCGAGTGTAAATTGGTACAGCCATTGTGGAAAACAGTACGGAGATTCCTTAGAGAACTAAAAATAGATCTACCCTACAACACAGCTATCGAACTACTGGGTATATACTCAAAGGAAATGAAATCAATATATCAAAAAGACACCTGCACTCCCATGTTCACTGCAGCACTATTCACAATAGCCAAGAGATGGAGTCAACCTAAATGTCCATCAGTGAATGAATGGGTAAAAAAACTGTGGTATATATACACAATACACAATGGAATACTACTCAGCTATAAAAAAAATATATATCCTATCATTTGCAGCAATGTGGATGGAACAGTAAACAATCATGTCAAGTGAAGGAAGTCAGGCACAAAATGACAAATACCACATGACATTACTCATATGTAGAATCTAAAATCAAAATGGTTTTCATATAAGCAGAGAGTAGAATAATGGTTACCAGAGGTTGGGAGGTATTTACACAATGGAATATTACTCTGTCATAAAAAAGAATGAAATTCTGCCCTTCGCAGCCACAACGGTGATCTCAGGGAAAATTATATTAAATGAAATAAGCCAGGCACAGAAAGAAATACTGCACATCCTCACTTATAAGCGGGAGCTAAAAAAAAAACAAATAAAAAAGAAGGAAGGAAGGAAGGAAGGAAGGAAGGAAGGAAGGAAGGAAGGAAGGAGGGAGGGA